GCCTTCTCCAGTCTATTTTTAAATGACTTAAATAAGAGGGTTTTCCTATCTTCCCTCGAGAGGCTGCTCCACGGTTAAATAAACCTCACTGGTAGGGAATGTTCTTCCTGAGATCGGTCTCAATTCTCCTTTTGCCTCATTTCATTGAATTGGCCTAGCTGCGCTCCACTAAACAGTATTGTATCCCGCATAGTTCTTGTTATCGGTTACAACCAGAGACTGTAGGAATGAATCCTTCTTTGCCTTGACTGTGTCTGTGTATATAGTTGGCTGTATCACTAGGCAGGCTCTTCTCCAACCTGCAACGTATAAACATACAGGAGGACGTTCGACTTAATTTGCAAGTCAGTGTTTAAATATGAATAGGGTCACGTCTTGTTCGAACTTCCTAAAGGAATTGAGTAAGATCGTACAGTAACAACGTGAGTAATGAGCACCTGCACACCCAATATGTTAGGTTTACACACCAATGCCATTTATCCTGGTGCAGAGCAGACAAATGACTATCTATCCTAGGGTGGGAAGTGCTATTGCAGCACCTTGCCATGGTACCTGCCCACCTATATACCCATGTACCTTATAAAAGTATAACTTTAACCCTGAGTTTTCCCAGCATAAGCCAACACCAGTTTTTTACTAAGTTATACCAGTGTAGGGTGTCCATTGGATTTCCACTTCTTGCACCAAAGTTGTCCATAAAGTCACTGTTCTGAAATGTGGCTGTAATGTTCATCTATTGGTTTAGGTCCTTATTGCGTGCCCATTGGTACTGATGGAAAGACTCATTGGGGTTTGAATAAGGTTGGGTAGCCTCATGTTACCTAAGTCAGTCCTCCCGTTATTACCCTAAATCCATTCTTGTTGCCTCAGTCCTTTTACACACAGTTATCTAAAGACACACAATTATCTAAAGAAAAATAAAACACTCAGAAGTGTCCAAGTCCTGTTTTCAAAGAGGGCAGGGAAGCTCCTAAGTCACTTTTGAAAATGTGATTTAGGCTCTGATGTCTCACCTGTCACTCAGGGAAATGTTTCCCTTTTTTTCTTAGACAGAAGCATAGATGACCTCCAGGGAAGAATGAAATGCATGAAAAATTGTGTGTGCGCAAACTGTGTATGTTATTTCTGAGGAAGATCCAAAGGTTCTGGGAGATTATGAATGCACGCCTTTTCTTCTTCGGTTGTCTGCTGTGGATGATATCAGCTTTTCAACCCATGTTGAAAAGCCCCCTTTCATGGTTTAAGTCAATAGGGAAATGAATGGCCAGCTCAAGGGGGAGAGAAATCCATAACGTTGTACCAAAGTAGAGCCGCAACGATTTAGCTGTGGCAAAACACCAGACTGCATCGTGACTTGTTTGTTGTTCAACCATTCGGGTCGTACAGTGGGTAGATAAACCGTAAGCATGGCCAATAAAGTGACCTGAGGAGGCCTCTAGATAGCATTCGATGGAAGAGTCGTCCAGGGATAAAAGCTGGCCTGATAGAGTCACGCTGGGATGTTTGCACCTAATCGGGGGCCCAATGTTGCTGTCACAAGACTTGGGCTGACCGAGTTACCTCATTGATTGTGAGAGGCATTTAGCATACAGCTAGCTCGGGATTAAAGAGCTTCCATAAGTGCACCCTTCGGAAAAGCAAAAGGACGCGCTCATTTTATAGGAACCTCATTTATTTCTGTGATCTTAGTGCCAAGAGGGGACCGAGAACAAGATCTCCATTAGGCTCCGAGGCACCGTACTTGAGTGCAATAAAGTGACAGTCCCTGCTCCAAAAAACTCAGGAAGCAAATAGAGGATGAGATAGAAACGGTGAAGATTAAATAACCTGGGTGTTGAGGAGAGGACCGGGCAACACGGAAGCGGTCCTTTTTGGTTTGCTCTGTCTTGCTGATGGAAAGCAAGCGTTGCCCATCTGATTTTTAACGCTGGAACCGCCATGCATGTTGGTGGGGTTTTCTTTTCTTTTTGTTTCCTTAGATAAATGATGATTTAAAATGGCATGAGAGCTGTGTGTGGGGGAAGAAAAGCATATGGTCTGCAATGCAACTGGTGAATAGCAGCGGCACACCTGCATCACAGTGTATTGGGCTTGGAGCAATTGTTTTAAAGAAACACAAATGGGGGTGGAAAATAGGTCATATTTTACTGAGCTTGGAGCTTTCTGTTTCCAAGTACGGGTGTTTGGCACATGCGGACAGCACTGATGTTAGTTTTTGTATGTTCCCCCTACCACATTCTGCTTTGCCTTGCTTTATCTGCCAAAAAAAGAAAAATAAATCCGCGAAATATTTGCCGAGTTGCATTGCTTGCAGGCTTAAATACATACATATGAAATCCCTGAAAGTGATTTGTTTCAAACCCTCTTCAGTTCCAGACATCTTTCTCACTCCATCTGCGTGTCCAAGTACACAAGTTCCTTGGGGGGAAAAGCACTTATTACATCACTGAAAAATGCTGCAAAAATAGCTTTGCACTTGAGTTCCCATCCTTGGAGCTAACCCACATGGGGATCAGACAGATCCAAACATTTAATAACTTTTTTATTTTCCTTTCTCTTTAAACACAGGATCTCTGGTCGTGGAAGCAGGGTCACGTGGTCGATTCTTGGCAGTCGGCGGTTTGTGGAGCTTTTGCAGGTGCAAAGGATTATATGTTATACTGGGAAAGGCTAAAGAAGAAAGGGAAAAATGTGCAAATCTATTAAGTAGAGCAGAACAGCATTCTTTTGTAATTCTAGTTTGTTTAGAGGAGAAAGGACCTAGTTGTTGGTTGGGAGAAGGGAAGTCTCTTCGCAGCGGCGGGGGGAGGGAAAAAATACTGCGAAGGGTGTCCGCTTGAAAGACAACCAATTTGTTTTTGACAAATTTCTGTTGTCTCAGAGCTGGGCCCTGTCAGTCAGGCTTTCAGATTATCTCCAAGTTTGATTTGTAAGATCCAGCATGAGAAGAGCCTTAGTTGGGTGCGGGTTTGTGCAGCTGTCTGCCCCGGGCTGTCCCTCGGGGGCTCGGGGGGATTGCGGTGGGAGGCTGTGATTCACCATTTGCCTGACAGCTCTGACAGCAGCAGAGATTAACTAGAGTCAGGAGAGCAGAGGGGTAGCACTGCAGCAGCCCTCGGGCGAAAGCCTGCCATGCCGGGGAACTGGCGGACGAAACATCTGGGCAATCTCGAGACGCTAGAGCACGAATAAAGAATGGCAGACCGCAGTCTTGCACTATTTATTGCCAAACAAGCCAAAAGTTAATTGAATTCTTTAAGAGGCCTGCTGTCGGTGTTTAAAATAACTTTTAAAATATTCACTTAATTAATGGCTCAGATAAGCTACAGGGAGGGGAAAAACCGAACCTCGTCTTAATAGACAAACCAGATTAAGGGAAGAGTGGCCAGCAGTTTCCCCGAAGGAAGCAACAGAGAGTTTACAGTTCCAAATTGGTAACAGAGTATCTGGAAAAATCAATCCTGTTTAAAAGACATAACGGGGGTTGTGAAGATGGCCACGATCAGAAACAAAGCACATCCTTTTGCTGCTTTGCAAAAGGCAAGCCGCTCGATTGTCTTTAAACCATTAAAAACAAGAATCTGCGTATCTCCTGGGTCCTCTAGTGAGGTAGGAAGTTTTTTACCACCAAGTAGTACTAGGTGTAATGGTTAATGGTAGCATTGGTGTAGAGCGAGCCGCTCATCAATGCCCAGAGCTCTGTCGTGCTAGGTGCTGTGTGTATGCGTAGGAAGAGTTAGTCCCTGGCCCTCATTGCTCATGGACTAAGGGTATGGGCACACAAACTCAGTACCCTGAGATAAAAGGGGGAGCGGCGGGGTGTGCCCAGTACTACACAGCAGCTTCACTGTGCATATAGGCCTATATGCATATAGGCTTCAGCTGCATATAGGCCTATGTGCAGGCCAATAGTTCACAAAAGCTAAACTCTGGCATCTGAGTCCTCTTTCTTTGAATACTAAACTACTGCCAGCCACCTTTCATTGACTCTACTCTTGGACTCAACGGCGCTTTACCTTTGCCTCTTCATTCTTCTTCCTCCCACGCTTTCCTTGCTGGCGTGTCTTACCCTCTTTCTCATTCACCTTCTTGCTTGCTTCTAAGCCCATTGGGATGAAGAGGAGTCTTTCAGCAGGGCGTTGGGACAGGCCCCGGCTCTGGTATCTCCTGTCTCCCGCCTGAATTGGATGGAGTCGTATGTTTGCTGAACTAGCCATTGCATCCGGCATTCTCTGCAGCAAATGTCAACTCCTCAACTGCACTGAGGCAGTGGAAAAAACATTTTCCCGGTCTCTGAGTTGTGGATTCTGCAGGTAGACCCCATCCGAATGAACTGCCGCCTTCTGTTTGCAAAATGAACCTAATTTATGAGGAGCTCGAGCAGGGATGAAAACCAGTCCGGCCCTCCTGAAACCTTCTAAGTGTGACAGTATGTGTATATTGTACCAGAGGGCCTTCAGCTCACCACACTGAATTCCCCTGTGAAAGGAGAGGGAAAAAGTTGATCCAAGCCCCGGCTAACCCTGTGCTATAGCCGTGTTTCCAAATACCGCAGCATAGTGTTGAGACACAGAAAAACATATTGGGTTCATACATCTCTTGCGTGCTCTGCTTTACCACAAAATTTGCTAAAGCGCTTGCAAGGTCCTGGGGGTCCAGGGTGGTAAAGGAAGGAAGCCAAATGAGAAATCCTACTTGGCTTCCCTCTTTTTTTTTTTTTTTTTTTTTTTTTTTTAAATGTATGATGGATATTTTCTAGCTTACTCATCAGTATCTAGTTGGTGGAAAAGAAACAGACAGCATCAATATATTGAATTCTCTCAAGAATTAATGCCGGTTTCATTAATGCCTATGACATTGCAGGTCAGGGCTCTCCCAAGAAGCCAGATTAAGTTGCTTAGTGTTTCTTACGTCCATGGTGCATTCATGTTTCCTTCATTTCTGTATATTGGAGGAAACACCTCCCCTCTGCCCCCATTGCCGTGTCCTTGTGCTGATTCCCACCAGTGACATGACCCCTGTGCCAAGGGCTGCAGGAAATGCAGTGGAAGAAAAAGCACTGATTCAAGTTATTCCTCCTTGGGCCACATGAATAGCATGAAGGGAGAGCAGAGCAGGACAGGGAGTTTAGGTCCAAGAGGCCAGGATGCCTAAGCCAAGGGGCTACGGGGTCATGCCAGTGCATAGTGCCGTGGCGTGGGATACGTCGTTACCTATGCGCTTCGTTAGGATTTCCTGTTTCAGACAGCTGAGCCTGTCTCCTGGAGAGAGCAGAAGTGCAAAGGACTGTAGACGTGGAGCAAGTATTAGCGTAATCGAGAGATTTCCAGTGGGAAGGAACTGAAAACACTGCAGCTGCTTTGCCTAGAGAGGATATAAGTGAGCGGGGAGACAAAGGGGTGTAAGATAATGGAGAAGACCAGTAGGGTCACCAGTAATGGTGAGGTCACTAGCCTGGGATATGCTTCACTTCCTCTCTGACATGACCCTGCCACTTAGCTCCTGCGTGCCTCGATTTCCCATCTGTAAAATAGGAATAGGAGCACTTCCCTGCCACACAGGGTGTCATTGCAGGGCAATGTGGGTATGGCAGGGATGAGTCAGGGAAGTCCCCAGGTTAGAGAGTGAGGGTCTGCCCTTCCCCATAATGCCAGAGTAAGGGAACACGCTCCACTGAAAGGCAGCAAATTTCAGACAAACCCCCAAAATAACTTTTTTTTAAGCAAAGTAGAATTTCACTCATGGAGCCTCCTGCTACCGAAGACTAAAGATTAGCACCAAACTGGACAGTTTATAATTGATGAGAATATCCAGAGATATGCTAAGACAAAGACCCCGTTCAACAAATTGTACTAAGTTGTACCAATGTAGGGTATCCATTGGGTTTCCACTTCTTGGTCACACCAGAACAAACTTATACCCGAAGGCATGTCCCAACGGGGGTAAGGATGCAGTTCTCCAGGGGTCGGTCACGCCGTCGTCATCCAGGAGCAGGCTCTTTGTAGTGGGCTCCAAATTCTGGTCTCTGTCTGAGCAGGAGAGGGGTGGATTCATGCCCTCCCGCACCCTGGCGATCCCTAACTCCAAGAGAGACACTTCAGCACAGTGGAAAAGTTCTTCTTCTTCTTCTTCTTCCTTTCTCCGTGCTGCAAAAGCAGTGTGGCACAGTATTAATAATTGATAGACTGTCAGCCACTCTCACTGCAAGGCTTGTGAAAAGCAAAGCACCGATGAGAGCCCTTTGCACGTGAACATAGAAGGCCTCTGTCATTTCCTTTTGGATCCAATGAGCTCTGACAAGACGGCACGCTGTGTCTGAGACCCTCTTTAACATGCAAGGCTGCAAAAGCTGAGCTGTATCTGTTTTAGGCTAGAGTGCATGTGTTCTCTTTTGCATCCCCTCAGACAATGCTTTCAAGTCCAAATGGGCTAAATCATTGCAGATGAGACGCTGTGTCTCCAGGTGTCTGTGCTCCAAGCTCTTCCTTGGCACTTCCCCACCAGTAGGTGTGAGTTAGCCTTGTCCAAAGGACTAGGACATGAACACCCTGTCAGCCTAGTGCATGCCAAATGAAGAGCTGATGAAATCATAGCTCTCAAAAATGAGTTTTCAGTAGGGAAACCACCTGTCATGTGAGAGTTTCTAGTGGAGAGCTGCAAGGATTGATAGTAGGCCCCAATCCAACTTGATGGTTTCATCCATGATTTGGAAGGAAAATTGCTGCTCGTAAGCTCAGATGGCTTGAGATGCACAGGAAGGTCCATGGTCCTATCTGGGAGCATCTAGATGATGCGATGGTCCCATCGGGACCCTGGGAGAGGTCCATGCACTAAGCCATCCTAACGCGTAGAGCTGAACTGAGACTTAATCGGTGCCTGGTCATGAATTTTACCCAGCCCCTGCTGATGACCATGATGACAACTGCTGTGTGAAAAACAGCTACCTAAACCCCAAAACCGGATTTCTTTGCCCGGTTATCGTTGTGATATATAGTTATAGTTGTGACATCGCTGGGACTGTTGCCTTGTTAGCTGAAACTTGCCATTCAACCTCGTCTGGGAACTGCGTTATAAACATTATGAACATAGCCTACCAATTACCTGTGGCATTCAGGAATAAATTCAGGCTGAATTGATATGATCAGACTCGCCACCTTCGTTCCCATCATTGCTAGCCATAAATTTGAGTCCCAGCCGAGCGTATGCAAACTTGTGTTTAATTTAGCTGCCGTATTAGTACCCGTCGTGCTCATAAAGCGCATTATTGCTGCTGTCATCGTTCTAAATCGATTTGTAAATCTGTTATACAAGTACTTCCCAATGAAGGGAGGGGGAAGAGCTTTATGCTTAAGGGCAAAATAACCTGCTTCCCCAAACAGCAGTTGGGGAAAATATGAAGAGCCCGGATAGATTCCTTTGGATAAAAGCATGTAGGAATATTGCATTGGAGAATAAGTTGTACATAATCAAATCATTTTAGCAGCTGAGACTTACACTTCTACCAATAAGAAACAGTGTTAGGACTAAAAATTCCTTAGGAAACCGCAGGGCCGGATGAGAAAAATAATTTAGCATTTATGAAGGCTGCTAATGACCGCAGCTGAGGCTGCCCTGAAGTTTTAGGACTAAAATCCCAGTGCTTCGCTATTTCATTCTACTCTAATCTTGTCCGTGGTTAAAGCAAGGCCATCTATTTCCAGTCTCGTTAATCCGGCACCTTGCAAGAAGGATTTTCTTTCTGTTTTTAGCTACTTTAAAAATATGCCATTGACAGTGGTACCGATTGTAACCAAATGGTCCGAAAAGGCAGCAGACCCCGTTGTCAAAAACTAGTGCAGAATTAAAGGACTTCAGATCTTTAAACGTGGAGCAGCAATGGGCTTGGGGTATGGCCAGTTTGCTTTATAGGGCTTTATATTGTCTTGTCTAAAGTAAACCCTTTTTTTTACTGCTTATCCTAAAACCTACTGGGCTCGCACTTCTACTGGGAGGAGAGGGCGACACGTAAGTCCTCTTACGGCCTGAAATCCTTGGGC